ATACATATGTGGGCAAAGAAGGTGAGGATAGGAGACATCTATAATAGTTTCAACAATAAAAAATGGTTAAGATAGTAAAAAAACAAAAACTATACATATGTGTATATATGTATTTTAGTTCTTTAGGTATTGCAGTAATGTTTTTCTATGAAACAAAATATTAAACTTTCAGAAGTGTGAATTTGTTTAGATTCCAGATTTATTGAACAGAATTAATTTGTTCTTTGAAGTTCTTAGTTTATTGGCTTTAGGTGACCATTAAGCTGTGGCAGTGCTGTCTAACCCTTTTGTGTAATACTCCCTGACTTGAACTAAGGAATAATTTGATTATCAGGAAGAATTAGATTCATTAGATTAGTGCTGCCCAATCTGGGCACCACTAGACATATAGCTTGTTTAGCACTTGAAATGTGGCTGCTCTGGACTGAGATGTGCTATAAGTATAAAATACACCTTGGCTTAGCATAAATACATAATATAAAATATCTCATTAATATTTTAAATAATTTTATTGCATGTTGAGATGACAATAGTTTTAATTTATTGGATTAAATGAAATATATTAAATCAATTTTGTCTGTTTTTACTTTTTTGATGTGGCTTCTAGACAATTAAAAATTACATATATTGCTCATGTTATATTACTATTAAGTATTCAAAGTGTATAAAATAGGGTACCTTGACTCTAGGAATCTGGTGGGGAAGAAGACAGATGGGTGTTTTATTCAAAGTGTATAAAATAGGGTACCTTGACTCTAGGAATCTGGTGGGGAAGAAGACAGATGGGTGTTCAGGGTGGGTGGTAAGTGCCAGATTGGAGCTCATGCTCCAGATAGGAGACATCGAACCTAGTTTTGAGGCCCTGTAGAAGGGGTCCTTTAAGGCAGTTTAGTACCTTGTGTTTTCTTTCTTTTTAACATTCTACTTTTTGGATTGAAGGAAATAAAAGTCAAAAACTTAAAAAAAAAGTTTGAGAATCATTTATTTTAGTGGTATTGGTTGTTAGTCTAATGAAACAAATCAAGGCTTGCTTCTGCTAACAGAGACCACTGCTCGGCCCTCCTCCAGAACTGGCTTAGACAACTAAATGGACGGTAGTGGTACTTAAGGAATGCACTCAGTGGGCATCAGAGCTCCAATCTGGCACTTACCACCCACCCTAAGCGCCTGTCTGTCAGTTTGAGATCTGTTGAATTCAAGATATCTGTGGGACATCTAGATGGGGAGGAACATTAGTCAGTGGATGTAGGGATATATGTCCAAGAAAAATCTCTCCCTCAATGTAGATAGAAGTCATATAGTACGAGATCATCAGTAAGGAAGTAAAGTGAAAAATGGACAAACCTCTGAGGAACAGGGGAGGTTTAGGAAAGGGAATAAAAAGGTCATGGAAAAAGAATGGCCAGCAAGGGTAGTGTACAGATAGTGTCAAAAGTAGCTAAGAAGTAAAAATAAAGACTGAAATGTCCATTGTCTTTAATAATAAACAGGTCACTGGGGAGAAAGCAGGTTCCCTTCTGGAAGGGATCGGGTTAGGTGGCAAAGCCAGATTGTAGAAGGTTGAGGAATTAATGGGAGGTAAACAATTGTTGGCAATGATATCCCTGATGAACATAGATGCCAAAATCCTTAACAAAATATTAGCAAATTGGATCCAGCAATACATTAAAAAATTACTCATCATGACCAAGTGGGATTCATCTCAGGGATACAAGGCTGGTACAGTAGTCGCAAATTAATAAATGTGATACACCACATAAACAAAATGAAGAATAAAAATCATGATCATATCAATGGATGCTGAAAAACCATTTGACAAAATCCAGCATCCATTTCTGATAAAAACGCTCAGCAATGGGGGAATAGAGGGATCATGTCTCAACATAATAAAGCATATATGAAACACCTACAGCCAACATAAAACTCAATGGGAAAAAACTAAATGCATTTCCCTTAAGAACAGGAACAAGACAGGAATGCCCACTTTCGCCACTCTTATTTAACATAGTTCTGAAAGTCTTAGCCACAGCAATCAGACATGAAGTAAAAATAAAAGGGATCCAAATTGAAAGGAGGAAGTGAACCTGTCATTATTTGCAGATGGCATGATATTGTACGTAGAAAATCCTAAAGAATTCATCAACAAACTACTGAATTTAGTAAACAAATTTGGCAAAGTAGTAGGATACAAAATTAGCATCGAGAAATTGACAGCATTCTTATACACCAATAATGAACTCAGAGAAACAAAAACTAAAAAAAATCCCATTTACCATTGAAGCAAAAAAATTAAAATACCGAGGAATAAACTTAACCAAAGATTTAAAGGACCTATTTGCAGAAAACTACATTACATTGAAAAAAGAAAGAGAAGAAGATATAAAAAAGTAGAAACATATACCTTGTTCATGGATTGGAAGAACTAACATCATTAAAATGTCCACATTACCCAAAGTAGTCTATAGATTTAATGCAACCCCCATCAAAATACCAATGACATATTTCACAGAACTAGAACAAATACTTCAAAAGTTTATATGGAACCAAAAAGACCCCGAACAGCCACAGCAATCTTGAAAAAGAAGAACAAAGTAGGAGGGATCACAATACCGGATATCAGGTTATACTACAAAGCCATCGTAACCAAAACAGCCTGGTACCAGCACAAGAACAGGGACATAGATCAATGGAACAGAACAGAGAACCTGGAAATTGACCCAAGACACTATGCTCAATTAATATTTGACAAAGGTGGCAAGAGCATGCAATAAAGTAAAGACAGCCTCTTTAATAAATAGTGTTGGGAAAATTGGACAGCTACATGCAAAAAAATGAAACTAGACCATCAACTTATACCATACACAAGAATAAACTCAAAATGAATAAAAGACTTAAATGTGACTCATGAATCTATAAAAATCCTAGAAGAAAATGTAGGCAACAAAATTTCAGACATCACATGCAGCAGAATTTTCACTGATACAATGCTGAAGACAAGAGAAACAAAGGAAAAAATTAGTACATGGCACTACATCAAACTAAAAAGCTTCTGCACAGCAAAAGAAACAAGTGTCAAAATGGAAAGGAAACCCTCTATATGGGAGAGCATAAGAGCCAATGATACATCAGATAAGTGGTTAATTTCCAAAATATATAGAATACTCATACAACTCAAAAGGAAGACAGAGAACTCAATTAAAAACTGGGCAGAGGACCTAAATAGACACCTTTCTAAAAAGGACATAAAAATGACCAAGAGACATATGAAAAAATGCTCAGTGTCAGTAATTATCAGAGAGAGGCAAATTAAGACAACTACGAGGTATCACCTCACACATGCCAAAATGGCTGCCATCAACAAATCATAAAACAAGTGCTAGCAAGGGTGTGGAAAAAAGGGGACTCTAGTACACTGCTAGTGGGAATGCAGGCTGGTACGGACACTATGGACAACAATATGGTGTTTCCTCAAAAAATTAAAAATGGAACTGCCATTTGACCCAGTGATCCCACTTCAAGGAATATATTCTAAGAACCCTGAAATACCAATCAGAAAGAATATATGTACCTCTATGTTCATAGCAGCACTATTTAGAATTGCTAAGATCTGGGAACCCCCAAGTGTCCATCAATAGATGAGTGAATAAAAAAGCTGTGGTACATTTACACAACGGAGTACTATGCAGCTGTAAGAAAGAGAGATTTCTTATCCTTGGAGACGACATAAGCGAAATAAGCCAATCAGAGAAAGACAGATTCCACATGATCTCACTTATCTGTGGAATATAATGAACAAAATAAGCTTATGAACAAAACAGACCCACAGACATAGAAATGAGTACAGTTCAGACTGACAAATCTCAGAGGAGGAGGGCTGTGGGGAGTGATGAGATAAACCGGAGAACTTATATGCGTAACCAATGGACATAGACAACAATGCTGATGGGCGGTATCAGGAGGAGCGTGTCTAGGAGGGAAAAGGGGAAACATCTGTAACAAAAATAAATTTAAAAAAATTGTTGGCGATGAAGTTTATTTTTTGGGAGTAAAAGGAGTGGAGTGGGAGGCTTGAGTGGCTAGTGGATGTTTTAACATGTGACCACTATGTGTGTGTGTGTTTCCTCTGAGTTGTAAACCCACTAGAAAAATGATTTCTATATCTTTATGTTCTTGGAATCCAGTGTGGCATCTTTCATAAGGTAATTGCTCAGTAACATTGCTGATCATTATTTTAATTAATTTAATATCCTTTTCCAACAAGATTCTTTTTCTTTTAGAATGGGAGAGAGAGAGAGAAATATTAGTTTGAGAGAGACATATCAATTGGTTGCCTCCCACATGACCCTGACCAGGGTGGGGGATCAAACCTGCATCCTAGGTACGTGCCCTTGACTGGAAATCGAACCTGTGATCCTTTGGTCCACGGGCTTATGCTCTAACTGCTGAGTCAATCCGGCCAGGGTTCAACCGATTCTTTATCAACATCATTTCCAAATTCTCTAAATTTTAAATATATATAAGAGCTTGGTTTTATCTAAGTTTAAATGCACTAAGGCCTTCAGGCATGGCTGAGTGGAAAGAAAATGGGCCTTGTAGTCCACAAAAACTATAATTCATATTTATATTCTGAGACTTTTTAGTTATGTGATCTTGAACTAATTGTCACTTTTGGTCATTTTTCCCCTCATCTAGTATTGAGGATAATGACACCTACCCTTATAGGGCAGTTATAGGATTCAATGAGAAAATGTTTAAAATGTTTTGTATATAGTACTTTATATGAAGTAGGCACTCAGTAAATTTTTGTAGAAAGATAGCAACTTCATGTGTTATGCATGCCAACACTACAGTTTTTATAATTTGATTTAAAGTAGTGTATGTTATATAATGTTACAATTTTACATAAGAATAAGCATACTTAGTTGAAATACGAGTGAAAAATTAATCTTTGAGTAAAAAAATGTTTCTTTTCTTGCTCCCTCTTCCTCTTTCCAATCCAGGTCCTGAGGGAGTCTAACAAATTAGCAGAAATGGAAGAACCACCCTTGCTTCCAGGAGAAAATATTAAAGACATGGGTCTGTAATGGTATTTTTTGTTGAATTTCCTTCTTTCTGACTGTACAGACTGTTTAGTGTCTGAGTCTGCAGAGAACAGGCTCACTGTCTGAGACACCTCCTCTCTGGCAGTACTTTTTACTGCCAGCCTTCCTAGGTTTAGACCTGTGGGAAACATACAAACTGAATATTCTGCTGCTTCTCTGCTTTGCTTTACTTTCTCTGAAAGTAGGTGGCTTTTTTTTTAGCTGTTGCTGAATTCTGTGAAGGAATTTTGTACTACTACAGTAAGATATTGGGTTGCCTAAATTAAAGACATTGAGTTGTCACTTTGTACAAGTAACTTTTCTGAAAACACATTCTCTTTTTTTTATTTTTTCCTACTCTGAATAAACTCAGGTCAATTTTTAGATGAAAATATTTCATCTCCATTGAAAAGCAAACCATTTGCATGTGGATGCCTTCTTTTTGTCCAGCCTGTTGAACTAAGCATTAACTTATTGTATGAACTAAAACTAGAAACAAGCACTTAAGCTATTGTTTTTTTTGTCTTTATGTTTTTACTTTAAAATACACATAGATTTTGAGAAAGTAATATAATAGGAGAATAAAGTAAATGGTTTTTTAGCCAAAATAAAACCACCTTTCATTTTATCACAGTTTTAAAAGGACTTAGTAAATGCGTAATTTTCCTTGGCCAGGTGTTATTTCCTTGTATAAAACTAAGCAAGTCATAGTGGGAACTGCTCCTAAGTGGGTTGTTCTTGCTTACATTACATTTAGTTCTTTCAGCATTTAGTTCTTTCAGTCCTGTAACTGCCCTTCATGTGGCTCATGACTGCTGAGTGCATTCCTCCCCAGTCTCTTTCCCCCCCTACTCAGCCGCATGTTTACCCTAAGTTCTTACTCTGCTGAACCGCTTATTGAGTTAGGTATTGTATATTATCAGCATTGGATACTATATAATAACAATTGGTTATCATTATTGAGTGCTTACTATTCATTTAATCATCCTCACAGTAATCTTCTGAGAAGGTATTAAGGCAACTTAACAGATGAGGAAATTAAAGCATAGGGTGATTACCTAGGCAGTGAAATTATAGCTAGTATTATAACAGTTTTTCTTCTTCTGAACATAAAGCACATTCTGTTTCCACTGTGATAAATGATCTTATAAAAGACATTTGATTTACTACTCAATCTCTTTTGCTGGCTCCTCTTCCTTAAATAGCATGACTCCCTTTAGGGCTTCATCTTTGACCCATTTCCCTTTTCCCTTCTATATGCTCTTTTTGGTCACCATATCTAAATTAGTGGCTTTATTTATTATATATTTACTAATGATTCCAAAATTTGTTATTTCTAGTATCAACCTTTATTCTAATGCATATTAAAAAAATGCTTGCATTTTAGGTACATGCCCCTGGATATCTTATAGATATCCCTTGTACCCAACATCTTCTAAATTATACCTAAATTTACTCCTATTTTTTATTCTTTCCCTCTGTTAACATCAAAAACAGTCTTTCATTCATTCTAGGCAGAAATCTGGGAGTCATACTAGATTGCTTTTTCCCTGAACTCTGACATCCAGTCAGTTATCAGATACAGAGGACTCAATCTCTAAGAATTTCTTTATTTTATTTTATTTTATTTTATTTTATTTTAGTTTAGTTTAGTTTAGTTTAGTTTTAGTTTAGTTTAGTTCAGTTCAGTTCAGTTCAGTTCAGTTCAGTTCAGTTTCCGATATTTCTCCTTCTTTTCCCCATTGACACCCTCCTCCCAATCCCCACCACCATGTCACTGGCTTTGTTGTCCATGTCCATTGGTTATGCATGCATGCATATAAGTTCTGTGGTTTATCTCTTCCCTCCACCCACAACCCCCTCTTCTGAGAGTTGTCAGTTTGTACCCTACTTCCACATCTCTGGGTCTACCCTATTCCTCAGACTGTTATGTTCATTATATTCCACAAATAAGTGAGATCATGTGGTATTTGTCTTTTTCTGCTTGGCTTGTTTTGCTTAGGATAATACTTTCTGGGACCCTCCATGTCATCTCAAAGGATAAGAGATCTTTTTTCTTACACCTGCATAGTACTCCATTGTGTATATGTACCACAGCTTTTCTATCCATTTGTCTACTGATGGACACTTGGGCTGTTTCCAGATCTTAGCTATTATAAATAGTAATGCTATGAACATGGAGGTACATATATTCTTTCTGATTGGTGTTTCAGGCTTCTTAGGGTATAGTCCTAGAAGTGGGATCACTGGTTCAAATGGCAGTTTGTTTTCATTTTTTGAGGTAACACTATATTGTTTTCCATAGTGCCTGCCCAAGTCTGCATTCCCATCAGCAGTATACTAGAGTCTCCTTTTCTCCACACCCTTGCCAACACTTGTTGTTTGATGATTTGTTGATGGTGGCCATTCTAACAGGTGTGAGGTGATACCTCATTGTTGTTTTAATTTGCATCTTTCTGATGATTAGTGGTGTTGAGCATTTCTTTATATGTCTCTTGGCCATTTGTATGTCCTGTTTGGAGAGGTGTCTATTTAGCTCCTCTGCCCTTTTTCTAATTGGGTTCTGTCTTCCTTTTGTTGAGTTGTATGAGTACTCTATATATTTTGGAAATTATTCCCTTATCTGATGTATCATTAGCAATGATGCTCTCCCATACAGTGGGTGGCCTATCCATTTTGGTGGTTGTTTCTTTTGCTGTGCAGAAGCTTTTGAGTTTCATGTAGTCCCATGTGTTCATTTTTTCCTTTGTTTCTGTTGTCTTAGGTGATGTATGAGTGAAAATTCTGTTGCATAGGATGTCTGAAATTTTGTTGCCTACATTTTTTTTTAGGATTTTTATGAATTCATGAGTCACATTTAACTCTTTTATCCATTTTGATATTATTCTTGTGTATGGTGTAAGTTGATGGTCTGGTTTAATTTTTTTGCATGTAACTGTCCGATTTTTCCATCACCATATATTAAAGAGGCTGTCTTTACTACATTGTATGCTCTTGCCTCCTTTGTCAAATATTAATTGAACATAATGTCTTGGGTCCATTTCTGGGTTCTCTGTTCTATTACACTGGTCTATATGCCTGTTCTTGTGCCGGTACCAGGCTGCTTTGATTACAGTAGCTTTGTAGTATAACCTGATATCTGGTATTGTGATTCCAGATCATACTTTGTCCTTTTTTCTCAAAATTGCTGTGGCTATTTGGGGTCTTTTTTGGTTCCATATGAACTTTTGAAGTGTTTGTTCTAGTTCTGTGAAATATGTCATTGGTATTTTGATGTGGATTGCATTGAATTTAGCTTTGGGTAATGTGGACATTTTAATGATGTTAATTCTTCCAATCCATGAACAAGGTATGTGCTTCCACTTTTTTATATCTTCCTCTATTTCTTTTTTCAATGTCCAGTAGTTTTCTGCAAATAGGTCCTTTCCTTCTTTGGTTAAGTTTATTCCTAGGTATCTTAATTTTTTTTGCTGCGATGGTAAATGGTATTGTTTTTTCTGTTTCTCTTTCTGTGAGTTCATCATTGGTGTATAAGAATGCGTCGATTTCTTGACCTTAATTTTTTATCCTGCTGCTTTGCTAAATTCATTTCTTAAGTCTAGTAGATTTTTGCTGGAGTCTTTAGGGTTTTCTAGGTATAATATCATGTCATCAGAAAATAATGACAGTTTCACTTCCTCCTTTCCAATTTGGATCCCTTTTATTTTTACTTCATGTCTGATTGCTATGGCTAAGACTTCCAGTACTATGTTAAATAAGAGTGGCGAAAGTGGGCATCCCTGTCTTGTTCCCTTTTTTTTTATCTTTACCCGAGGACTTTTTTCTATTTTTTGTTCAGATAGAGTGGGAGGGAGAGAGAGGAAGAGAGAGAAAGAGAGAGAGAAACATCGACGTGAAAGGGACACATCTAGTGGCTACCACCTGCATGACTAACCAGGGCTGGGGACAAGCTGCACCCAGGTACGTGCCCTTAGCGGAAACCGAACTCAGCTCTCTCTGGACCCCAGGCTAACGCTCTAACCACTGAGCAAAACCGGCCAGGGCTAGTTCCTGTCCTTAAGGAATATGCTTTAGTTTCTGCCCATTGAGTATGATGTTAGCTGTAGGTCTTTCATATAGGACCTTTATTATGTCAAGATACAATTCTTCTCTTTTCACATTGCCGAGCGTTTTTTTTTTTAATCAGAAATGGATGCTGGATTTTGTCGAATGCTTTTTCAGCATCTTTTGATATCTTGTGTTTTTTATTCTTCATTTTATTTATGAGTTGCAAATATTGTACCAACCTTGCATTCCTGGGATGAATCCTACTTGGTCATAGTGAATAATTTTTTTGATATATTACTGGATCCGATTTGCTAGTATTTTGTTCAGGATTTTTGCATCTATGTTCATCAGGGACATTGGCCTGTAGTTTTCTTTCTTGGTAGTGTCTTTTTCTGGTTTTGGAATTAGAATTACGCTGGCCTCAAAACAAGTTTGGAAGTCTTCCTTCTTCTTGAATTTTCTGAAATAGTTTGAGGAGAATGGGTGTTAGTTCTTCTTTGAATGTTTGGTAAAACTCCTTCGTGAAGCCATCCGGGCCTGGGCTTTTTTTTTGCTGGGAGAGTCTTAATTACCTCTTTAATTTCCTTAGTTGTTCTTGGTCTTTTCAAGTTTTTATCTCTTCCCGCTCCAGTTTTGCGAGACTGTGTTTCTAGAAATTTGTCTATTTTGCTTAGATTGTCGAATTTGTTGCCATATAATTGTTCATAGTAGTTATTAACTATCTTTTGTATTTTTGTGGTGTCAGTTGTTACTTCTCTTTCATTTCTGATTTTGTGTATTTGGGTTCCCTCTCTTTGTTTCTTGGTGAGTCTAGCAAAGGGTCCATCAATCTTGTTTATCTTTTCGAAAAACCAGCTCCTTGTTTCCTTGATCGTTTGAATTGTATTTTTGGTCTCTATGTCATTTATTTCTGCTCTGACCTTTACTGTTTCCTTTCTTCCACTTGCT